AATGAGTTGCTGGTGCATCCGGCTCATCACGCAAGATCTCGAAAGGGATGCGCTCACCTTCAACATTTAATGGCCCGTCCAGTCCAGCAAAAAAAAAGGTTCAGACAGCTATTGCAGAGTTCAAAGCTCAGAACTAAAAAAAAAGAAAAAGCAATAATAAGTATTCTCAGAAACTTCTGCAATGCAATGTGTCAAGTGTTGCCAACGATCTGATGCAAAGACTTTGACTCTGTCTCAAGCGGCCCTCCAAGGTCACCTGCGATCAGCCGCCTGATCTGATCTTTGCCCTCCAACACTTCCTGCAATGAAAAGAACTGATCGTCTGTATGATCTGCGATCTTTCGAGAACACCTGGAAATCATACTATGAACCTACGTCCTCAGGATCCCAGCTGTTGGTCACCAACTTGTCAGTGGGCCTACAGTCAGAGCTTGAAACAACCCAGAAACAGTTATGAAAAGAAAGCAAATAACCAAAACAATGGAGTACTCCATGAGAGCCTGCCATCCTTAAATCCATCCCAGCCTGCTTCCAAAGCCATTGCGAAGGCTCGGGTCAGCTCCTGCCCTCAATAGGTGGTACCTAGATCAACAGCCCGTCAGCAGCTATCATTCTTACCTTCAAGGAAGCCTAGTTCGCCTCCTACCAGAAAACCTGAGCGACACCTGTAGCGACACCTGTAGTTTCTGCATAGGGAGGAACTGAGTGAATGATTCAGCCTCTTGGCATAAAGAGACTCTTGTGAATATTGCGGTGACTGATGCCATGTACTTGTAATTTAATTTACAATAATATATAATAATCTCGTACCCAGCCAGTCTGTCTCCAGTCCAAGATACGCCACGCGAGCATGGCCCAGGTCAGCGGCGAAGTGAAAACATGTTGTCCCAGCGTCATCGCTGGTGTTTGGGTCGGCCTGGTGAGTAGAGGCAAGCCGTTGCTGGGATCAATCCAAGTTGTTTGAAGGAGGTTTGGAGGCATACAGTACACTTGGACCACCAGTTCTCCAGGTTGAACAACGCCTCAATAAGGAATCCCTGGAAAATAGTGTGGCTGACAAGTCCAAACTTTTGACAAGTACCTGTGACCGTCTATGGCAAGTAGATGTCTATGGCAAACAACTTAGTGCAGCCCCCAGGATCCATTGAGTATATACGCATTCACACGTAGATTTGTTCGCAAACCTTCTAGGTGCTGATCGTGAAGTTGGTTGAAATCATGTCAAGTGGACTTTGTGTTCCCACCCTGGTGCTCAGAAGCAGCTGCATGATCTCTGCGCGGCCGCGCACCGCTGCGCAATGCATTGGGGACCTCAGATCTGTCGCCATGTAGCGTCCTTGTTCCTAGTAGCTACTTGCTCCTAGTAGTACGGCCAGGAGCCCCTAGTAGCGTCCTTGCTCCTAGTAGCGATGCCAGGAGCCCCTAGTAGCGAACCTTGTTAGTAAGTGTTTCTCCAAGTACTTGCACATCGCACTCATCGCAGTCAGCGCAGTGTACGAATCTGGGGTTGATCTGCAAAAGCCTATTGAGCAAAGCGTCCGTGCTCCACGTCGGCCAAACTCATGGCTTGTCACCTCATCCTGACAGCGTAATTTTGAGCTGTCAAGTAAAGGGAACAAAGAAGGAATCAAGTCCAGCTGTTGCCCTTGCCAGAATAGAATCCAAAAGAAGAGCCTATCTGAATCAAATCAAAACGACGAGAACAACTTCTATGATGATTGGGTTGTGTGTTTCAGATGGATGACTCTGTGCTTACAGTACAAAACATCAAACATCTGAGGATTGATTTTATGATTGCGGCTTACTGATCTCCAATCACATTGGCAAAGAAACTCAAAAACAAGGGGAGCTCTGCTGGCCACAAAGCTGTCCACCTACTTACCAAGGAAACAGGAGAAAGAAACTATAAGAACATGATGTATTTGTCTTCACCAAAAAGGCCCAAACACATTATGCTCTTCTCTTTCTTCTACTTTATATATCTTATATCTATATATGCATGTAAGTGTCCCTAAACATCTAGAAACCAAATCATTAGTGCGAGCGCTATCCTGCGTCCTATCTAGAAGCTTGCTTTAGTTGCTAGCTACCATCTTTTACTATTAATATTTCTAACATTAGGACGATGTTTGCCTTAGATATTGGACGTCACCGAAGGGAACCCGACCTGGACGACCACGCCCTCCTTCTGCATATCCTTCAAAGTCGCCTGGCAGTGGCAAGCCCCGTGGTTCGCCCGGCAAAGCCCATTCGTTAGGGCTGCGACTGCGATGCCCGGAGAAACTCATAACTTAGTGTAATATGCCCTGCCTTCAAGCCTTGGATGTCACAGTTGACTACCATGTCATGGATGACAGCAGCCATAGGTTCCTCAGATCAGAGGATGGACTTAACATGACCCAAAACCTGTCTGACCTCAAAGCCAAGGAAGAGAGATATACATTGAAGGATCAAATACCTGATGTCACCACCAGCTGTTCAACAATCGCACCTCGTAAGCGTTCTTTCCAGCACTTTCCCACGTCCGGTGCTTTGAGCCGTTGAGAAAGCTACAGTGAAAGCTACATGACAGTCCAAGAGAAAATATTTCTTCGTCTCCAGTGTCTCCACCTTCAACAGTGCAAGTGGTGGCACTGGATGTGAGCCCGGGAGCGCCTCCAAAGGACGACTTCTTGCTCCTCGATTTGTTTGTGACTTTGTTTCTTGACGGCACAAGTTTCAGCTGCGTGAGTCACCACCCCAGCGAAAAAGGTGCGAAACAAAAAAACAGCGAAACAATAAATTGTCCTTTATTTGGCCCGCTGACCCCTCCCTACTTAATTAAGTAGCCGCCTACGTAATTAAGTAAGGAACCGAGGTAGCTAGTAGCTTAAGTAGCTACTACCTAGGACACAGGATAGCTCACGCTCGCACGAACGATTTGCTTTCTAGATTTTAGCGAAACTTGACATTAGAATGGCACCAACACTTGCTCGCTGCACACCGGCTGGTCCTGCCAGCCATGGCATGGATCTTTGCAACATCAGAGTTTGGGTGTGGAAGTCGTTGAAGAATCAAGCGCTTGAAACTTCAAAGGGAAGGTCTTGTGATGCATCTCTGTATCTAGGTTTTCTCAAATTGCTTCCAAGTTTTCTGGAACCATGTGTATCTACTGAAACTTACTTAATTAGCAGCTACGGATAGAGCCAGTGCATCTGCTTGGAAATGTGCAAGAACAGGAGATCGGCAAGTCTTGTCAGAAGTGCAATTGGAAGCTCAAGAAATTGACAACCGTGATGCCATATTCCATATGGAAAATACCGATCAAATATCATGAGACATTGGCGCAGAATCTAACGCTAGCTGAGGTCACAGGCCCTGTGAGCTCCACATCGAAGAGCATGCTGAATCGCTTCAAGTTTGCCTTCAAGCTGCTACAAATTCTGGAACACCCACAGTCAAAGGAAATTCGGTAAATGACATGTATGACAAATAAGTGACATAAGCGAGACCTGCTTTCCAGCTGCAACAATGCTCACTGGTCATGGACTTCAAAGAACATGTCTACTTGCTTTTCTCAAAGAAAAAGAAGAGTGGAGGGGACACTCTATGTTCGTTCAACCTCGCTTGAAAGAGAAGGCCACGAAGGCCAGCGCTCCACACCTCCACTGCCTCCATATCTTCTGCAGGCTCTCCGCTGGGGAAGCCCCACTCCACCTGCACTGCAACTCAGAATATAAGTCTTACAGTGTCGTTACGTGTCTTTGTTGAAGCATGCTGCTTGTTGCAGTTTGCTGCGGCACTTGGCACTTGAGATTGCCTGAACAAAATTCATTCGGAGGTTCTATGACCCATGCTGTTTTGGCTACCCTCTTTGTGCTTACTGAAGTCATCTTGCAAGCTGGTGCTACTGCGGCAAGCGGAACGAACACTTTCTCTTGAATCCTCTGTATGAAGTCTCGGCAGTGAAAGCTTTGTCGAAAGCCACCTTCACCTTCAGCCTTTGCTTGCTGTAAGTACACTGGAGGATATGCAGTCAAAAACCATGTGTTTCTTCACCTCTCAAACAGATGTAGTTGAGCTTGCTTGAACAGGAAAAAAGTCAAGTCAAATCCCAAAAGGATGAATGAGCAGACTGACTAGAGTCTCTTCGAAAGAAAACACAAAAGCAATTATTGTATTGCTGCAACAATTCAAAACTTGAGATCAAAGCTTTTGCAGAAAAAGAGTTTGCATAGCTTTCAACACCACATTCAGCCTTCCATTCATGAGTAGCGTTCGATCACGACCATCGTGCATCAAGGGACAGTATCCCTTGAGAAGCATGTGGAATGGTGGACAACTTGGACGGGAAGGGATCGAGGTAGAAGAACTTACCTAAGCTATTGCGTCAAAAGTTGCGAAGGACAGAAGGGAAGTTCTTTTGGAGACGAAGCATTGGGTAGCCTTGAGCTGCTCCATTGCTAACGCTGTAACCCTTCCTCGAGCTACCCTTCTCGCTGTCGAGAATCGCAACAATCAGTAAGGCCTTTTGCAACCAGCAGGCACCTTCCTGCAAGGCAGGGTCGGACAATGCCCAGGCTTCGTTCAGTTTCTGCGAATAACTGGATAGATCAGCATGTATTGACTTGATGTGCCTGTGATTTCTGCTCTTCACTCAGCGCTTTCGCCAAGGCGGCCTGGCGTGAGACCAGATGTGCTTCAAGCTTCAAGAAGTCCAAAATGGACTCTGTGTGTCAGGTTGTCTGAAAAGAGTGTCCAGCTGAATTATTATTAGATATTATGTTAAATTCAGATAAGTTCCTTAATGTTTCTTGTTCTTCTTGTTCTCAATTGTTCGCTCAGGTCTTGGCCAGCTCCACCGCATCCTGCTCATTCAGCAATGCAGGAAAGCGGCCTGCACACTGCACAAATTACACGAGAAGCAGCAATCACTATTTGCCTTCAACATCTTGGCTCAAGTCTTTCTAATCCCCAATATCAGTTGGGCGATGGGAAACCGATTTGCACAATTTTTCAGACCACAAATGCTCACGCAGGCACCACAATAAAGCCGGGATATATGTGTAACCCTAGCTCTTGCCGAGCGACTCACATCTCTTCCAGGTTGTACCTGCTATGGCCTCGTTGGATGCAGATTTCATGGCGAGAGTGGCTTATCACGGAGATGGTGGGATGCACCACTTCGCCATCTATATGTTCCACCTGTCTCTTCAATGAGGCCAAGTCAGGCCGATCAGTGCAAATGCTGCGCAAGTCAGCCACTGTCGTGGGCGTATCTTTGCAGTAGAGCCTAGGCTTGGGATCTTTGCCCGCTACGCCTTCCTCAAAGACCAAGATTCTTGCGCCAGCGTGGATCACAGGTGTGTCCATTGATATTGAACAATACCTCGGTCCATCTTCACAAAACATCGGTGGAGGTGGGACCGTCTTGTCCGGCCATTCCAGCAGAGGCATACCACAGAGGTGCCCAGGGGCACCAATGCCGCAAGCAACTTCCACCAGTCTCTGCTCAGCTGTGAGAGCTGCCATGTGAAGTTCATGCAGGTTGTCCCAGGCCAGGTTTCCATCTGAATCTTGCAACTCAAGCATGTCCAGCAAGGGATCGACTGTCTCAGCCACTGCTGTGATATCGTCTTCTTCACAAAGACCGCTATCTTCGATGAGAAGATGGCACGGTAGCTTTGATCCAGCTTTCCCCACCAAACTGCAGCCTGGCGCATCCAGCATTACAGCAATTTCATCCGCGAGATCCCCAATGTGTGTAAATCGACTGTTTTTGAGTGGAAAATCACCCATGAGCATCTTGCCATTTAAGCTGAAGACGCGCACCATGGAAGCAGCGCTGCACAGCACCGAAGCCCCAACTCTACAGCATGTGGTAAAATATGGCAATGCGGGCAGAAAATCCTAACTTCCACCTCCAGTCTTTGGCCTCCTACATGCCCGTCTTCTTAGTTGAACTGGATATAATGCAGGCTTCACGCCTTGGCAAACTGTCTGATTTGAGCTGCAGTGCAAAATTGCAGAAAAGACTGGCTGTATTTTTGGAACCAAAACCCTTGTTGCCCCTGGTGGCACCGGATCTGCTTTGAGCTCAATCCACGCTGATGCATGCATTGTTTCACTTGTGTAGATGTCCAGAGTATACACCTCAGCATGGTGGAGATAAGCTTTTGTGGCAAGGGTTGCGCAGAGGTACGCTTCCATAGAAAGGCCAGGCTTGCAAGGAAGTATGGCCTTTTGACTCTCGAAATCGCAAGGTTGCAGCAATTGCCAGCTGCACCTGATTTGAAGACATTGGCGAAAACACAGTTGCCTCTTCAACAGATTGTCACAGCTTTCAGACTCAGAGGTACTCCAGTCACAAAAACTAAAAGAGGAGCATGCATGGAAGGGGTCACCGGCAACCTTCCGTGGGCTTTGAGCGAGCTTTGGGAATCGTGCCCAGCAACCAGCTCCTGCATGCCAAGCCTGAGAAAAGAGTACACCATCTTCACCCAAAACCCTTTCAGTTCTTACAGTGTCGACCCTTTCAGTTCACTCAAACAGAACTAGCTGCGATAGATTAGGCAAAGCCTCCTGGTCCATCATCTGAGGGTTAGCAGTGAAGGTCAAGCTTTGATCGAAAGGCTGGTACCTGCACCGTGCTATACGATCTGCTTCCGTTCTTCAATAGGCACCACGGGACCTTGAGCAGGTCACTCTTTCGTCACCGCCGGCTTCACTGAATTCACCAAACCTCCGGATCGGTATTCTCTCCACCTCATGCAGAATGTATGAACCTTTAAAAGAACAAACAAAACAAACAACAACATTAGTGGGCACATGAAGCTAACTATATATCCAACATGTAACGTTTCAAATTTAAGTGTGAGACAAATCCAGCGTGTCAGCCTGTCAGCGTGTGTGGAATCGTCATACATCGCATCAATGCACGCTGCCTTTCTCTGCAGTCCTTGCAGTATGAAGCATTCTTCTAGGTTTACCTTCTTGCCCTTCTTTCCAGGACTTCACTTTTGAGGCTGCTCTCAGACCCAGGGCACCAGGGGTTCTCTATGCACCTCAACATCAAGGACAAGGCGGTTGAAGAGAGTAATTTCTCGCCTCGGTGAAATTCACTGGTGAAACAGGATGAAGAGGAATCCAGTGAAATCCCTGCTCCAATGACTCCAAGGTCATGACTGTTTAAACTTGCCTTCGCTTCCAGAGCTTGCAAACTCTGATTTGTAGTGGTTGTACTGACGCTGGAAGTTTTTTGAGCACCTGGTCTCCAAATCAAAGGCGGTGGACAAGTTCTACATACATACATACAACCTACCTACCTACATACCTCCCTCCCTCCCTCCCTCCCTGCCATGCCATGCCATGCCATTCATTTCATTGCATTGCATTGCATTACATTACATTGTATTATATACATACATTACATTACATTACATTACATTACAATACATTACATTACATTACATTACATTACATACATACACTACATTACATTACATTACACTACATTACATCACATCACATCACAGCGCATCACATCACATCACATTACATTACATACATTACATTCACATACATACCATTACATACAATTACATACACGTATATACATACCGTTACATACCTTTCCATTCCATTCCATTCCATTACATAACATAACATTTCATTGCATTACATTACATTGCACTACCTTCATCACATAACATAACATTGCATTACATTACATTGCATTACATTACAATACAGGACACTAGATTACATGACATTACATGACAATACAAGACATTACATTGCATTACATTAGATTGCATTGCATTACATTACAATACAAGACATTACATTGCATTACACTACATTACATACACTTACACTTCATATACAAATATCCATTTATGCGAACGGATGGAAAGTGTGCCCTGGCCCCGTTCTAGCCCTTAGTTCAACATGAAGCTCGCGCGCTAAAGCTCCTTTTTACCTGGTTGGGCACTTGAGCCAAAAGTATATGGCATGTACCTGTATAGCAACTATACTGGGACCTCATCCCTATTGACACCCCCCACATCCGTGCTTCGACGGGGAAGGGAGATGAGTGGATGTAAAAACCGGAGAACGAATCATGTTCTCAAAAGTGCATTGGAGGTCAACCAGTATGTCCTATTGAACTGAATTAGCAAACGATCTTGTATTCGCTTGAAAGTTGGATCAGACAGGTAACGGAGCTACAAACGGAAAACGTGCACCTACCTATGGTATCATGCGATTACCAACGGTATGAAACACAATCCTATTTCACTCCCATGATGCCAAAATGGTCATCATGAATTACCCAAGATCCCTCAGTACTTGAAGTACCGGAAGTAGTATGTCGGTATGACCCCAACGCTCAACCATTCGTGAGTTGTCGCATGTAGTCAGCTCCGACAAAGCCAATGTAGTCCTTGATGAGCTCAACGTTCCTTGGGTTTCCCCTCCGGATCTGCTCCTCGAAGGACTTCAACTTCTGTGTTTGAGTATCGGATACCTCTATGCCGTAGTAGCGGCATGCAACGAGGATCTCCTTTGTGACATTCTTCCGCTCCGACTTGATGGCGGGGCTAATGTCGATGAATTTGTATGGAGCGGCACCTTCATCGTCTGGTTTCTGGTAGTAACTATATCGGCTCGCTCCGAACGTCTTCCTAATCAATCGTCTGATGAAGTTTGAGATGAATGCCAGTTTCTCGATGATCTCTTCCTGGGTCTCAGATCTTTGAGCCTTTGGATCACTCATGTTACGCCGAGTGCTGCCGACCTCTTTGAGATACTTGTGGCTAAGCCCGCAGCGGATTGCAGTGATCATCATCGGGTGAATGACGTGGGCGTGGAATTCATAGATCTGCCACGCTTCTGTTGCATACGTGTCGTTGGTCCATTTGCTCATGCCTACGACTTCGGCTCTCTGAAGGCGTCTTGGAAACCCAGTATCCGGATCATTCGGTACTAATGGCCATCTATTGAATGGAGTATCATGCCGCTGTCCATCGTCGAACTTTCGCAGTACGTCTTCACGACTCTCAAAGCAATTGACGTCGAACGTTGCGTTGGCCAAGCTCTTGATCAACTTCATCAACCTCAGATCAAATTGCTGTGTGACTGCAAAGTTGTGGTCGATGGGGATCGCAGCTTCTTGCGGCACTTCGTCAATTGCGAAGGGGAAAGGCTGTGGAAGTTCATTCCCGTATCCATCTTGAGGGACCTCCCGATATTCGGGTTCGCCTTCGGCTTCGTCCGGTCGTTCCTTCAAAATGATAGGAACTTCCTCGTCTTCCTCTCCTTCGGACTCCTCGACGTCAATGACTTCTTCGGCTGTCTTGCGTGCATTCTTGATGACTTCATCGATGTTTGCACCTGCAGAAGAAGTTGCTTCACCGGAAGAACTGGCTGGTACATCTCTCGGAGGTGATCGTTGATTGCGGTCCCTTGTCTCCTTGGGTACCACATGCGTGAGCTTCCCATTCGCGATCAAAACCGCTACGCAGTGCGGACATATCGTCAATCGCACATCGACTTCGCCAAGACAGTTGGGACATGGTCTTGAGTCATAGTCTTTCATTGCTCGGCGGTACACGATCTCCTCAAAGATTTCCTGCCATTCGGCGCTATCGTATTCTGGGTAGACACCGCTCTCCTCGACCATGCCCAGCAGCTTTGAGATCTTGGCGTCGTCCTCTGAGTAGGTATCATCCTGGACCTCAACCGCTAAGCTCTCAAGCTTTTGATAGCGTGGAGTCATGATCGGGTTTCCGTATTTGGACTCCAGAACAAGGTAGCTTCCAGGGTCGGGTTCTCTATTGAGTAACCTGATCCATTCGATCTCCTCAGGCTGTCCGGGTTCTGCATTGTCGCATTGCAACCATGCCCCTTTAACCTCATCGAAGGGAACGACGTCCTCAACCAATAGAGATCCAGTCGCTGAGATGAGAAGCCCGTACTCCTGCAGCTTCGACACCGGAATGTAGAGAACCACTGGGCGATCACTCAATGCGACCTTACGACCCAGCCAAGGTTTTCCCTTGTAACCCTGCTCCCAGGCCCATGGCGGAAAACATGTGAAGTGGATAGAATCCCTTCCCGATGTGCCGAGACCTCCTGGCACTAGCCCCCGTCGCATGATTGAAGTCAGCGCTCCAAGATTGGTAGCGTGAAATGCAGTCACCATGGATAGGGCCATGTCGTTGGTCATTCTCGATCCAATGTGGTCGATGTTGATGGTAACGTCATAACCTCCACCGTCCGACGAGTGTGCTGAGGTTGCTCTTACAGCCACGGGAAAGCACCATCCATCGCTATTGCGGAGTCTTCCTTTGGATATTCCCATGCCCTTGAGCTCGTCAATCCATTCCTTCTCCATCGGGTCATCAGGATCATTGAGTTCATCTGGGTGAACGCGGACCGCCAACATTTGGAATCTGATCCTCTTGGTTATGCGGAAACACTCATAGTTCTGGTCGAGGTACTTCTCCAAACGCGCCTTCTTGGTCACGATGTCTATGTTGCCATAGTGATAACCGTCTTCCCAAACTGCGTTATCAGCTAACAGGTCTTCCCATGACACCCATGCGCCCTCATCGCATTTGATTGGTGTGAGTCTTCCTCCTGTCCTGAATTGGCGTCCAATTCGATGTCTCAACTTCGCTCCCAATCGGCGACTCAGGGCCTGACTCGCTTGGCTGTATTCAGGTACTCGACAGTCTGGAGTCGGATACTTGAGGTTGCCGTAGTCGGAGTTCTGTGCAGCGAAAGTGACTCCGTTGATCGGTACTAGCTCAACTTTCCCGATCATCGTCATGGGGTCGATCGGCTTGTATCCCTTCTCCCTCCGTGTCGGTAGGGGGTAGAATTGATGACATGCCTTTGGTTTGAGGGAGCTGGAGTGCACAAATGCCCTCTCAACAAACTCATACACCACCCTCATATCCCTAGGGCCAACTTCCGCAAGCTTCCGCCCATTGTAGGAATGTGTCCCTCCTTCGACTCCATCGGCACTTTCAATCAAGGTGAACCCGTCATGGTCAAACATTGTCACGACTCTTGCTTTCAACATTTCTTTTCGCCTGAACTC